ATTAATATTAATATTAATATTGTTAAATACCAGGCACAGTCAATAAAAACTATAAAAAATTGAGTGGTATTATATAACAGATACAAGTTTTAACCAAAACCCTATGTATCTGTTAAATATCAGCACAGTATGTATGTGTTCCAAAAACTGCTGTTTTTTATAGCTCAGATGGTGTGATTTTTGGGACATGCAACTGCTAATAATACTGTGTGAAACTTTTTAATATTGTTCCACTGAAGTGTATTTCATCCTGTGAGACCTGGGACGAGAGCAAAGAGACTCTTTCCAGAGTATCGTCTGTTCCACGCGTGGAGAGGGAGGAACAGACTGCATTTGCTGACCCGTGAAAAAAGACTATTCAAAGGGGAATGAACGGATACCCGGGATTTGGAAGAACAAATGTGCGGGATAACCATCGCTGTTCAAACCCCAGTGGAGTTGGAGAGAAGACCCAGGACCAGGAAGATGGAGATTGAGGCGGGGTTGGCTGAAATAAAAAGGAGGGAAGATCAGATACTGAGGTGGGGTGGGAGGGAGATGGTTTGGGTACAAGACTCATGTTTACAAGACTCATGTTCCGGAAAATGGGGGCATGTGCGAGTGCCGAGAGAGGAGGCGGACTATCGTAGAAAGAGGGGGATCCCTCAAAAGCCGTCATATTGGGATGTATCAGAAGCGAGAGAGTGAAGGAGAAAGTTAAGGGAGGAGAAAGAGAAAATTCAATGGAAAGAGAAGAGAATGGTGAGTGGAGGAAGCGAGGAGGAAGGGTTTTCTACAGGACCCCGGAACCACTTCCGAGAGACCTGGGAGATCCGAGATGTGCAACCAGACAAGGAGGAGACCACCCCACTTCTAGACGAGAGAGACAACGAGTTACTGAGAGAAAATGGGTTTCCTCTCTGGACTGGACCCTGGGGCAATACGGAGGACTCTAAATTGTTTGGAAAAGAAGAATGGACCACCCCGACATGACCCATTGGTGTTGGGAGAGAAGTTATGGGATAACTTACTTAAGACTTTTTGTTAAATACTCCAATAAACCTAACCCCTAGTTCAAAATTAAAGACAACTTGTGATTTTGTTGTGGAGACCATTAACCCCCAGACCGAACCCTCACACATCCACAAGTGAGATGTTTCAATTGCCAGATCTTTGTATTTTGTTAATTTTTTTCCAATTCTGTATCTTCGGTTCTGGCATATCCTGGAATTGCAATGTCAGTGGTCCAGACGTTTCTTTGTTCTGTTACCAATACGTCTGGTGTGTTATATTCAAGGTGTCAGTTTGAATCTGGAGATATTGTAAGATCTTGACTTCATCATTTTCTGATATCTTCTGTACATAATGTTCCCATGGGTTTTTGGATATTTTTTGCATAATGACCAGTGCACTAATTTTGACAATCTATCGTGTCTAATTTTCTAATCTGTGCAATCTTTGGACATTAACAGATGAGGTTAGACACAGTTTCATCTTTTTCTTGGCAGAGTCGACATTTAGTGTTAGCACTAACTTCTTGGATCTTAGCTTTCATCACGTTGGTTTGGAGTGCTTGTTCTTGTGCAGCAAAAATCAAACCTTCAGTTTCTTTCTTAAAGGGTCCCCAGTTTTAGCCATGCCCATGTTGAATTATGATCATGCTTCAGCCCTCATTTGCTTTGCTGAACTGAAGCCAGCCTGCTGTATGTGATATCTCTTGCTTCCAAGTCTCTCATCCCTTTTTTGCGACATTCAAGTTGTCTCCGGTGAAATTCCCATGGAGGAGAGATTGCTAAATTGAAATCTCAACCCCTTAATTAGCACTGGGCAAGAAGCTCTATTTCTTACTCTTTCAAAACATATTCACTGTTTCATGTTATTACAAAGAGAAATCTTTTAATTCTTTATTGAGAACACCCCCCCCCCAGTTCAGCTGCTGTTTATCCTTGAAGTGGAAATGGAACTCCTTTATTTTTTAGATTAAATTACATTTTTTTGTTTTCTTTATATCTCAGTTTTCCAACAGGACTGGGACCCAAGGTAGCTTTAAATATAATAAAATTATAACAAGAAGTAATTGGAAGTAATTAATAAGGACTACCCTTTTCACGAAAGCTTTCACGGCCGGGATCTAATGGTTGTTGTGGATTTTTCGGGCTCTTTGGCCGTGTTCTGAAGGTTGTTCTTCCTAACGTTTCGCTAGTCTCTGTGGCTGGCATCTTCAGAGGACAGCACTCTGTGCTCTGGTGTCACAGAGTGCTGTCCTCTGAAGATGTTGGCCACAGAGACTGGCGAAACATTAGGAAGAACAACCTTCAGAACACGGCCAAAGAGCCCGAAAAACCCACAACGACAACTACCCTTTTGTTTGTACACATGCAAGTGTACATAGGGATACAGGTATACATCAATAATATGTGTAAGTGAGGAGTGTTTAGATGTCTTTTTCTTGTGAAAGCGACTCAAGTGTATCTCTCTTTGTGAATGATAACCTTTATCTTGTTTTTCCCCTCATGTTTTCTTTTCTCTGCAGTGGCTATGGCTGTTCAGATCATTACTATGAGTCTGATACACTCCTGCATTCCTTTCAAGTCCTTGCTAAACTTTTGGAATCTCCTATTACTCAGGACATAATATGTGATGTTGGGATGTAAGTATTTAGTCGGAACAAAATACAGAGTCATGTTGGTGGCAAGGGAAGAAATACAGTGACCAAAATCTTGTTGCATAGTATAGTTAATTGCACTACAGTATACTATAGAGGGATGTGGTGTGCTGCGGGTTAAACCGTGTCTAGTCGCGCTGGCCACATGACCATGGAAACTGTCTTTGGACAAATGCTGGCTCTATGGCTTGGAAACGGGGATGAGCATCACGCCCTAGAGTTGGACACGGCTGGACATTTGTCAAGGTGAACCTTTACTTTTACCTAGGCTATAGAGTGAGGATTTATTGAATTAACTCTGTAGGTTCTCCTGATTCAAATCAGCCAAGTCTAACTGTGATTTAATTTAGCACGGCAATTTGCAGTTAGAGTAGGCTCATTTAAATCAATTAAACTTATAAATTTGTTGACTCACTAAATTCCCATTGATACAGCAGGCTTACACTAGTATGATTTATCATACTAAGCAACAGGATTTTGGTCATTGTCCTGCTTGGATTAGCCAAAGGGAGTTGCTTGTAGCGTATTTGCCATAATAGGCAGATCCTCGTAAGCTGGATCATATTTGAGTGCTATTGGTGCAGGAGGGGGATACTGGAAGGAACAGAGATATTTGAATCCACAGTTTTGTGGAAGCATGAAATATAGAATTAGGTGGGGTATCCTTATCTTTGTACATGTATAAGCATATCCCAGTTTAAGGAATCTTAACACTTGACAACATTGATTTCTTTTATTTGTACAGGCCTGTTATGCATCGAAATGTCCGCTACAATTGCAGAGTGATCTTTCTGAACAGGTACATGACTGCTTTTCAGCCCAAACACAATACCTTTTAGTTCCTCTTGCTTCACACAGGAGGCTTAAGCACATCAGTGATTCTGGACTCTGCTGAAATTGTGGCTTCTCAGAAATGCTTAATTTTGGCTGGGTTGTGAGAAAAGAAATACTGTAAAGACTCTTGTTTTCATGTGAATTATGTTTTATATGTTATTATTTTTATTTTTATCTAAGGAAAATTCTTCTGATAAGGCCAAAGATGGCTTTGGCAAATACAGGGAATTACCGAGAAATGCGATGGTTCACTCCTTGGAGCAGACCACGGTAGGCATACACTTCCTTTCTCTTATTAAGTTTATATCCCATCGTTTTTCTGTCATAGAACCCAAGGCTATACACACTGCATTTTTCAGACTGTGACCTCCTCGTTTCTGCTTGAAGACAGTGCTTTGGAACAAGTTTTTTTTTTCAAGTTGCAAGCATAATCATTGTCGAGTTGAATCTGCTGGAGTGAGAAACTTGACAGAATGTTTACACTTTGTATTTCACTCTTTATCCTGTGATAGTTGTGTTAAAGAATTGGGTTGGCTTTTGATTACAGTCGCAACCATTTGTTAAATGATCATTCATAGACTTTTTCATGGAAAGGAAAGCGATGACAAATCTTGACAGCATCTTGAAAAGCAGAGACATCACCTTGCCAACAAAAGTCTGAATAGTCAAAGCTATGGTTTTTCCTGTCATGATGTATGGAAGTGAGAGCTGGACCATAAAGAAAGCAGACCGCCGAAGAATTGATGCCTTTGAATTGTGGTGCTGGAGGAGGCTCTTGAGAATCCCCTGGACTGCAAGGAGAACAAACCTATCAGTTCTAAAGGAAATCAACCCTGAATGCTCACTTGAAGGACAGATCCTGAAGCTGAGGCTCCAGTACTTTGGCCATCTCATGAGAAGAAAAGAGTCCTTGGAAAAAACCTTGATGTTAGGAAGGTGTGATGGCAAGAGGAGAAGGGGACGACCGAGGATGAGAGGGCTGGACAGTGTCTGCGAAGCTACCAACATGACCCTGACACAACTCCGGGAGGCAGTGGAGGACAGGAGGGCCTGGCGTGCTCTGGTCCATGGGGTCACGAAGAGTCGGACACGACTAAACGACTAAACACACACACAGACTTTCTCATGTGGCTTATTAAGATTGGTTGTAACTTGTTCTGTAATTTACATCCACTAAGCAGTATACGGTCTGTACGTTTCAGTACATAATGTTTATGATGCTTCATACCGGCTTCCCAAGCCTGGTACTCTGCAGCTATTTTGGATTGTGCTGCCCATCAGCCCCTCTCCGCAGGTACAGTTGGGGATGATGTAGGCCAGCGATGGCGAACCTATGGCACGCGTGCCACAGCTGGGACGCAGATCCCTTTCTGCTGGCACACGAGCCATAAGTCGCCAGATCACTACTCCCCCCTCCGTGCAGCCAAACCTGAGAAGGTGGCTGTAGCCGTGGTGCTGGCACTTCAGCAGGCAGCGCTGGTGGCGGATCCAGAGTGGGGTCCCGAGGCACCTCCGTGCCCGGGATTCCCCCTTCTGCCGCCACTTCCGGTTCCGCTGCTGCCACACCGCCCGTTGGTTTTTGGGTCTTTTTCTTTTCAATTTGGGCACGTGAGTTCAAAAAGGTTTGCCACCACTGATATAGGCTACAGACCTAGACATCTGGAATGCCACAGGTGGGGCAAAATCTGATTTATACCATGCACAGCTTGTGGCCTATCAGCCAGGTGTGGCAGTCCACAAAGAGTTTTTCTTGCTTCTAGAGCAAGCAACTCTGTTTGGTGTTTTATGAAAAAAAATTATGCTCTTAAAGCTATAAAGTTGCAATTGACTTGGTGAGTCACGTATTGTGCAGGTGTGTGTGTGTGTTTAGTCGTTTAGTCGTGTCCGACTCTTCGTGACCCCATGGACCAGAGCACGCCAGGCCCTCCTATCTTCCACTGCCTCCCGGAGTTGTGTCAAATTCATGTTGGTTGCTTCGCAGACACTGTCCAGCCATCTCATCCTCGGTCATCCCCTTCTCCTCTTGCCATCACACCTTCCTAACATCAAGGTTTTTTCCAAGGACTCTTTTCTTTTCATGAGATGGCCAAAGTACTGGAGCCTCAGCTTCAGGATCTGTCCTTCGAGTGAGCACTCATGGTTGATTTCCTTTAGAACTGATAGGTTTGTTCTCCTTGCAGTCCAGGGGACTCTCAAGAGCCTCCTCCAGCACCACAATTCAAAGGCATCAATTCTTCGGCGGTCTGCTTTCTTTATGGTCCAGCCCTCACTTCCATACATCACGACAGGAAAAACCATAGCTTTGACTATTCGGACTTTTGTTGGCAATGTGATGTCTCTGCTTTTTAAGATGCTGTCAAGATTTGTCATCGCTTTCCTCCCAAGAAGCAGGCGTTTTTTAATTTTGTGGCTGCTGTCTCCGTCTGCAGTGATCATGGAGCCCAGGAAAATGAAATCTGTCACTGCCTCCATGTCTTCCCCTTCTATTTCCCAGGAGGTGATGGGACCAGTGGCCATGATCTTAGTTTTTTTGATGTTGAGTTTCAGACCGTTTTTTGCACTCTCCTCTTTCACTCTCTTTACAAAAGTGCAGGTGCACTTTTGTATAAAAAACCTTGCTTACGTTTGACTTTTTTTAAAGGAAAATTTGTTATATAAAAGCTACGACATTTAAAGACATAATAGAGAATGTATTCTTGCTGAAGATTTGTGGGTGTGTATGAATATGATGCAAAATATCTTGAAGTTTATAGTGTAATTTGTTTCTTTTTAGACATGTGGAAGAGTATTTTCCTCCCAGGATGATACAGAACATAACAACTCAGGTAAGGTGCTTCTTTTCTGGATAGTGGCTTATTTCTGTTTTCATATGTTACAGATAAAGGGCTTAGAGGAAATGTTAGGTATTTCTTAGCCTATATTCTGTTTTATGCTACAGTTTCATAACCGTTGAATGTAACTTCTGATGCCTTTGAAAATAGATGAGGTTAAGTTAATTGAAAACTGCAGTATTAATTTTGATAAGGAAATTTGGTCCTACATTGTGCTTCATTTTGAAATTCAAGAAGAATTATGTTCCAGTTGCACCTGTTTTGGAAAAAAAAGATCTGATCTAAAAAGCCAGCTTACAATTTTTTGATAAACTGAAGGAATGATTCTAGTCAATGGGTGCACAGTAAGTACTACTGCCTTTTAAAAGCAATACTGTTCAGTATGATAAGAGGTACTATATTGACATTAGAGCACAAGGCAAAGTTATAAGGACCTTGAAGCTGCCTGGAAAACAAGTCTACAGTAGTTCAAAGTGCCACAATTTTAGTTTTAGTTTAGTTTTGTTTTGTGTTTCTTGTAAATAGCTCAAAAGAAAGTCTGTGCAATTAGGGATTTCTAATATGCAGGGCATCTACTCTTTTAAGTATTGGCTACAGCCCTCAGTCATTGATGGTTGGTTGGTGTGTTGGCTGGCTGGCTATTTATTAATCAAATTATTTGCCGTCTAGCTCTCCAGAGGGGAGATTTTTATGTATTTATTTATTTATTAATAAATAAAGCATTCCGGAGAGCCCCACTTACTGCTTAAAAGCCTGCCTGAAACGGAAGGCCTTGGTCTGATGATGGAGGGATCAAGCGGTTGATAATGATGGTTTGCTTTCAAGAAGGATTCAGCAGAAATTTTTAAATGAATTAAAAACAAATGCTGGTTCGCATTAAGGTTTAAGATGGTGATTACATAACTGCACTAAAGAATGTTGGAAGGAGTAACGTTGCTGTTCAGAGAAGGGCTGATACAATCTGTGGCCTATTCTTTGCTCTCATTGCCAGAAAAGTATAAGATGCAGAGCTTAATTCTCTGGGATATTTTGTAGCTGAATTTTGTGTCCTTACATTAAATCTTTCTGGCATTCATTCATTCATTCATTCATTCATTCATTCATTCATTCATTCATTCATTCATTCATTCATTTTTATTTATTTATTTATTTAACTTGTATGCCCACTCTACCCAAAGGTCTCTGGGCAGCTTACAACAATTAAAATTCAACTAAAATACAATAAAAGATAAAATGATTAAAATACTATTAAAATTGCTATCAGGACCCACAGTTGATGTTATTTCAATTAAAAGCCTTCTGGAACAGGGAAGTTTTGACCTGGCGCCGAAATGTCATCAATGTCGGCACCAGACGAATTTCAGTTGGGAGGGCGTTCCATAGTCTGGGGGCAGCTGCTGAAAAGGCCCTTTGTCTACAAGCCATCCCTCTTACCTCCTTGAGGGATGGTTCTTTCAGTTAGCTATCTTTGTGGTACAATGCTTCTCTTGTAAGTGACTTACACACACTAGTTTTAGGAATCCTTTAGAGTTTCATTAGAACATTGAGAAGTGGTTTGGATTGTGTATTATAAATATTATAAGATATTATGACTATCCTAATCACATTTAAGCAGATTTTTTTTTATTTACATTGATTGCTAACTGGATTATGGATTGTGGTTTCATAGGAGAGTGTCCCATTTGGTGATGCTGTACTGGCAACTTTAGATACCTGCATAGGGACTGAAATCTGTGAAGAACTGTGGATACCCACCAGGTAAGAGATGAGTTGGCATTGAGAGAAAGCATCCTTGTAAGTAGTGGAAATAAATCAAAACTCAAATTAATTATAGGATAAACATCAAAGGTTTGCGTAAAACCATTCTGGACCCTGTCTTTAGCCTTCCCCCTAATCAGAGCAGGCAAGGATGGACACATTTGAACCTCTACATATATAGAGCATGTTCTTAGGCAGCTGTGAGGGAAAGGATCAAGCAATGAAAACTGCTTTCTCCCTAGGCGTCCTCTAGTGAGAGCATCCTGTGTGTGGAGTCCTGTTCATAGGAACTGTTGCTCCAGTTGGTTTTCTCTTAAATAGTAGTTTAGTAGGAGTGAAATAGCAGGTATTTAAAACAACAAGGTACAGTATTGGTGAATTCTTTCCACTCTCATAGTGTTTTTCAGTGTTTGTAACATTTTGTGCTGCCGTGAATAATGCCGGGCATATTTTCTGTGGCATATTTACAAGTGGTGTTATTTATTTGTGGCTTCTCAATCTTGTAGTCCTCACATTGAAATGGGAATTGATGGAGTGGAGATTTTTGCAAATTCCTCAGCAAGTCACCATGTCTTAGGCAAAGCTCATACTCGAGTGGAATTGGTGAATTCTGCAACAGCAAAGGTAATCTTCTAATGATTCTGCCGGTCTCAAAATCTTGTTGAAAAGAGCATATACATGTAAGAGCAATCATGTAGGCAACTTTACCCTGTAGGTTGCCGTCTGTCACATGGCCAAGTAAGTATACATTCGTTTTCTAGGCCAGCGAATATGGGAGAGAGTGACAGCCAGCTAGATGTACCATGAGAATCACTTACACAATTCCCAATTTATGCTGTGTGTTTGCAACTGGATTATAACTGCCAGAGTCAATGGATTAGTGTGTATGTAATTTAATTTATCTCCCATCAGTACACATGTATCAGAGTGATATATACATCCGGTGGTGCCTCGCATAACGAGTGCACTGTTTAACGATGAATCCGCATAGCGATCTATTTTTTAGATCGCTAATGCGATCGCATTGCGATGTTTCAATGGGTAAAACATCGCATTGCGATGATTGGTAAGCGTTTCGCTTACCGATCTTCGCATTGCGATGTTTTTTTGAACAGCTGATCGGCTGATCCAAAATGGCCACCGAGTGCCCAAAATGGCCGCCGCAACCATTTTCGCGCCCTGTCCTTGCTTACCGAGGGCGCGAAAATGGCGGCACTATGGAGGAACTTCGCTGAATGGTGAGTTTGGGCCCCATAGGAACGCATTAAATGAAGTTTAATGCGTTCCTATGGCTTTTTCCGTTCCATTTAGCAATGTTTCCTCATAGTGACGATTAATCCGGAATGGATTTACATTGCTATGCGGGGCACCACTGTATAAGACTCCTCAGAGCTTTCCTTTTACAGCTCTGGCTAGGCTTGGGTTTCCTTAGCTATGGCACAGTTCCTGTTACATTGTGCCTCCAGAGCATATCCTTCATTTATTGTTTGGATCGTAAGTGAAAATAATAATAATGGTATCTTATTCTTTGTAAACTAGGGTCCAATTTTTTGTTCCTGCGAAAGCAAAAAAGAAATGGGTATTATGGTTCTCTTACTGCTTCCTTGTCTCTGACCATTGCATTGGGCCAGTTCACAGGTGAACAATGACCTGCTTAATGTCTCCATAAAGAACAGAGGTGACAAATTGTGGGGATCTGAAGCCCATGTGCACACACACTGTACAGCACACGCACACCCCATCTCTGGAAAAAAGCCCCAAACACCTCTTTCTATTTTGAAACTTCCAGGCCTGAAAGAGAACTGAGGAGTCAAAATGTGGCAAAATGGCCCTCATATATGACTTCCTTGAAGACCTAGGAGGGAGGAGCTTTTATTCATCTAAAGATTTTGGTAGAGTGTTTGAGTGCCAGAGGTTGTATGTGTGTGTGGGTAGTGGTGTAGCAGCATAAGGTGGATGGGCTGTGCTTTGTCCATGTATTTTTAGAACCACGCAATAAGCAAGCACAGCCTGTAGCAACTAGAGCCTATTTTTTTCTGATTGCAGCCATTGTGCACAATGGCTGCCTTGCTCATGGACATGAATGGTGACTCTGAAATACACGTATCTTTCTGTAACCTAGTCTACCTTTGTCCACAAAATTCTGTTACTGAGAAGATACTGTATTTGTGGGGGTGAAATTAGTATCTGTTTTGTATGTGTGAGAGCGAGCAAACAACCTGGAATTTTGTTCATGCATTTGTCATCCAGTGTTCTGAAAAATCTTCCTAAAGTTTTCCTTTCTGGCTTCTCACATTGGTGAATCTCAGCTGTTGGCAGGGACTTGTTCAGAATGGCTTCTTTCTCCTACAAATCAGCATTGAAACAGGGCATGAAAATATTATGCAGCTGTATCAAGCTGTCTATTGTTTCACTCTTGGCCCATAGTGTGACTTCTTACATCAAGGGTTCTTTTGGGGGGGGGGGCTGCAGATGGCCATTCCTTGAACTTGGGAGAGCGGCTCCTGTAACCTCCACCCTCAAAATACTTTTCCTACAAAATGTGTGTGTGTGTTTTGAATAGAAATGACTTCTAGTGGCTAAATTACAGTATTTTCTTTCTCAATTAGAGCTTATGTACCGTGGCAACATATGACAGAAATTGTCTCCTCCCCAAATTTGAAATGTACTTTTCAAATGTATTTAAATTTGGCTTTATTTTTGCACATTTTGGAAGGATAGGGATGCTGGAGGCTGCATCTCGGCCCCTAAGGGGGCTGCATTTCCATCATCCCCATATCTTGCTTATAGGAGTTCTTACAACAGTATTACATAATATTTGCTGTACTATGTAAAATGTTAATGTTACTGTTAATGGTTAGCATCATATGATCTTATAATGTTCCTAATTATGTGTCTCTGTTGTTTTTGTTGTTAGAATGGTGGGATATATCTCTTGGCTAATCAGAAGGGCTGCGATGGTGATCGTCTGTATTATGATGGCTGTGCCATGATATCTGTGAATGGAAGCACTATTGCTCAAGGGCTTCAGTTTTCTCTGGATGATGTGGTAATGCTGGCCTGTTAATTAAAATAACTATAAACCAGATTGAGCAGCAGTTCTCATATATCAGTATGCTGATTCAATAAATATAAGAGGATATAAAACCAAATAAAAACCATTTATTGCCATCCTGAAAAGGAGCAGTAAAACATCACTAATTATTGAAAGCCGGATTCAAGTAAAAAACATTTTATGAGTTTTTCTTAGTCACGGTGTCCTCTCTTTCATGGGGGAGCATTCTGTAATTATGGGTCCACAACTGAACTGACTCCTATGGGCCCAGGCCTCTTATCATCATGTCAGATGAGATTTGTACTTGAAAGCACTCCTATGCTTTTGTGTTGGCATGTAGCAGGAATTCTGCTGGAAATTGCTTTGCCTCAAATATACAGTGGTGCCTCGTATAATGAGTGCACCGTTGAACGATGAATCCGCATTGTGATGTGGATTTCCCCATCGCTAATGCGAGGGCACGCTCGCATTACGATGGGGGAACAGCTGTTCTGCGGCTCCAAAATGGCCGCCGGAACACAAAAAAATGGGTGCCGGTACACCCAAGATGGCCGCCGGAACAAAAAAATGGCCGCTGGTACACCCAGGATGGCCGCTGGAACAAAAAATGGCTGCCGGAACACCCAAGATGGCCGCTGGAACAAAAAAATGGCCACTGGTACACCCAAGATGACCGCCAGAACACAAAAAATGGGCACTGGTACACCCAAGATGGCTGCTGGTACACCCAAGATGGCCGCCGGAACAAGGGAAAACATCGGAGAACTGTGAGTTTTGTTTAATGTGTTCCAATTGGGGTTTTTGATCCGTTTTACGATGTTTTCCCATAGCGAAGGTTAATCCGGAACGGATTAACCTCGCTATGAGGGGCACCACTGTAAATGAAAATAAACTGAAAGAGTTTTGAAAATTCAGTACTTTGCAACTTTTATTTTAAGGAAGTCTTGGTTGCCACCTTGGACTTGGAAGACATCAGAAGTTACAGAGCAGAAATATCGTCTCGAAATTTAGAGGTAGGAATTATTTACATGTAATTTCTGTGTTAATGAATGTAACAAGGCTTGATAAGTAAACGGAAGCGGAAGCAACTTGATCGATCACAGCTTACAAAGAGATAAATTTGTTTTCAAAAGATAAATCCTCCATTGCCTTTGTTTTCTGAATTTTCTTTATTCTTTTTTAAAAAAATTGCCAGGCAAGTAAAGTAACTCCCTATGGCAGAATAAAGGTACACTTTGCTCTGTCATGTTCTGATGACATACGTACACCTACGAATGAGCCAGTCCAATGGAAGTACCATAGTCTTGCTGAGGAAATCAGGTAGGCAGTTTTCCAGGAATTTCTTTGTTACCACAGTGGGGAAATTTGCTGCCTGATCCTGTATGGTGTGTGTCATGAACAGCAGAATGTCTTAGTAGCGGTATCTTGCCAGATGTTCATCTTTCTGGCATTCCAGGGCACCTGCAAAGCTTTCATCCAGCACTATTATTTCAAACAAATAAATTTTTTTCCCGTCAGCTTTTTTGACTATCCAGGTTTCACGTCCGTACATAGTAATGGGGAATACTGTCCAGCATTTCTCACTCCATGTATGGTAAAAGTCTTTGTTGCAACACCCAGAGCATCATTTTGCCTGCATAGGAAGTTAGAGCAATGGTTCAATAGTTCCTGTACTCTTTGGCATTTCCTTTCATGGTGCTTAGAATATATATTAAATATTTCTAGTCTATGGGCCATTGTTTTGTTTTCCATATTTGTTGGCATATTTTTCTTAAGACTTTGATAGATTCAGTCACCCCAACTAGGGATAGTTTACTGGTATTTTGTTGATCCCTGGTGATTTGTTTCTCCCATGTGCTTTCATAGCAGCTTTCATTTTACTTTCTAAAATTGCTGGTTCTTTATCATAGGATTCAAACAAATCTGTCATCCTTTTATCTTTTCTGTATAATTCTTTAGTATATTATTTCCACCTTCTTCTTATTTTAGCCTTGTTAGATAGTGTGTTTCCTTGTTGGTTTTTCAGCGTTCCTAATCTAAACCTAAATTTCCCTTTGATTTATTGGATCTTCTGGAGAAGATCTCTTGTTTTTCCTCTTCTGTTGTTATCCCCCCCCCCCAAGGCTATTATAGTAGTCTCTTTATTTCTGTGTGACATTGCTGAAAAGCTGTATTCAGGATTCTGACCCTACCTTTGTCACCTTTTATTTTACTTCTTGCTTGTCTTTAACAATTTAAGTATTTATTCTGTTAAGAAAATTTTTCTTTTCTTTTTACTACAGGAAGTGTCTTTTTGCATTATTCCCTAATGATATCTCTGGTTTCAACCCACAATTCTTCTGGTTTATTATTAACTACATTTAGTAACGTAAGCTTGTTATAAGGACTTTAAACACATCAGGAATGTTGTCTAAATTATATTTTGGCACTATGATTCTTTTAGTGTTCTTTTTCAGCTTTTCTTTAAGTTTTGATATTTACAATTCAGGGTCAATACCACAACCTGCTTCTGGTCTTGTTTTGGCAGAGAGAATATAGCTTCTCCATCTCCTTCATCCAGTTACATAGTCTGTCTGAATTCTGTATGAGCCATCTAGAGATGTCCACATGTACAATTGTCTCTCCAGTTGCTTGAAGTTGTTTATTCATAATAAACAGATTGTTGGTTTCACAGAATTCTGTGACCAAAACTCAGATAGGATAAATTTTCACCAACAGAAGCCGATCACATGATAATCTGGCACCGGTAAAATTTAACTGAAATTAATTCAAAGCTTATTGTCTCTTCATTTTGGGTTCCAGTGCTCTCTAGGGCTCCCTATTGACCCCAGGAATCCTCTGGGATCCTCAGGATGGGGGGGGGGCTTTAATCACCAAAATCCTGATCCCAGTAGTGCTGATCTGGTAGCAGTGTGTATGCAATACCAATAATGACAATGTCTCTTAATCATAATAGATCATACGTTATTTTTAATCACAGAACTTTAATTCAAAACATTACACAAGTTTCTTCAACTTCTTATGTACAGTGGTGCCTCGCACAGCGAGTTTAATCCGTTCTGGATTAACCCTCGCTGTGTGAAAGCATCGTTGAACGGAAGTAAAAACCCATTGGAACGCATTAAACATGGTTTAATGCGTTCCAATTGGGCTGAATACTCACCGTTCAACGATGCTTCTCTATGGCCGGCAGCCATTTTCGCGCCCTCCCCTTGCTTTACGAGGGCGCGAAAACGCTGCATGTGGCCATTTTGGGGCGTCCGGCGGCCATTTTGTAGCCGCCGAACAGCTGATCAGCTGGTCGCAAAGCGAAGGTCGCCCTATGCGGGCATTTGCGATCGCAAAACCGGCCTCGTAGAGCGAATTCATCGCTCTACGAGGCGCCCGTTGTGCGAGGCACCACTGTATTTTAAAAAATATCTCTCTATCTCTCTATCTCTCTATCTCGATAGATAGATAGATAGATAGATAGATAGATAGATAGATAGATAGATAGATAGATAGATAGATAGATATTTTTTTAAAATAGTAAAATGATGATGGCAGTGTGTAATCCCAGGAAAAAGAAGCTGCATGATTTGGTGAAAGCATACCCATCTTGAGACATGCTCTTTTACTTTCAGCCTTGGCCCTGCCTGCTGGCTTTGGGACTACTTAAGGCGTAGTAAGCAGGTAAGGATTGCCATTTTATCATTCACTTAAGAGCTTGCTATTTCTAGTAGAACCTATAGGGATTTAAAAAAGATAACTGAAGGTAACTGTTGATTTAAAATTTGAAGTTTTTCAGTCCTGCTTCCTTTTAAAATCAGTTAACAGTGCAGGCATTTATGAAGGTTGACTTTTACCATTGAAAGTCATTTTTACATTTACTGGTTCCCCATTCCAACATCCTATAGGTCTCTGATGTTTAAAGTTAAAGAGAAGGAAGAGGTTTATAATGGTAATAATAAGAATGGGGAACTGATTTAGAAGCAGGACTTACAATCTTACTTGTTACAAATAAAGTCGACTTTTTGCTATGCTGGCAAGATTTCTCTTTTTAATTACCTTTTTGTACTACCTTCATTGCAAAATAACCACGAAGGCTTGTATTTGACATGAATAGCCTATGGTCTAAGACTAGGGCTGACCACTTTTGATCCTCTGGATGTTGTTGGCCTGCAGCTCTCAACTCCCTTCACTATGGCCTGTGGTGGCTTGGGCTCATGGGAGATGCGACCAATCATTTGTTTAGAGGGCCAGGAGTTGCCTGCCCCTTCTTTAAGATGTGGTACAAAAGTGAGAAGTGGGTAATTGTGAAGGAACTGAAAGGCAGGCATCACCACATATGAATTGTTCCCCTCCATACTATCCTATAATAAGAGCATTATAATTGTCAGGAAGCAATTCTGAGCGTGGAGAAATCATAGAGCAGCTGGTCTCGCCTGGGAGCCAATGGAAGAGGCCATGCATTCGCACGTTTTTCTTTTCCTGCAGGATTATTTTGGTCTGCATTTTCCAAAGCAGTTTCTTCAGTATGTGAAATGGCTTGCACATCATCTTTTTATTCCCAGCATTTTAATTATTAAAATGATTGGGTGATCTGTGTCTATTGTGGCTAGAAACAAATAACTTCAGAGAAGAAGTATCTTATATGGGTTAAAAAAAAGTTGAAGGTTTTTTCTGAAGAGTCAGTATATGATTCTAATTCTTTTTAATATTGTGAGCCTCTTTGGATCGCCTTATCGGGAGAAAGGTGGCCTACAAATAAAAGAAATAAATAATAAATAATAATGATTACTCACAATGTTTTCTTCTTTCCTTTGCTGCCATTTCTTAAGGGAGGATTTCTCTTGCCACTAAGCGGTGGAGTCGACAGTTCTGCTACAGCCTGCATTGTGTATTCCATGTGTCATCAGGTTTGTTGTGCAGTAGACAGTGGAAGTAAGTGCACCTGAGTAGGGAAAATGTGCTGAAGGGTAGCTGTAGGTGAACTGGTTTTCAAGTTCAATTAGCTCAGGAGTCTAACCAAATTTTGTCAAGATCCATTAGCAGTAGGTCTCCCACTGTCTCTCCTTATCTTCCTCCGTCCAAGAATTTCCTGAGTGCTCGCCCCAGAGTGCTCGTCCCCGTTCCAAAATATTATGTGGTTTATTCTAAGTAACACACTTTGATTAATTTGAGAACATGTTTGTTAGGCATGTTGAATTTCACAAACCCACCCTATTAATAGTATCTGGGCTGAGAGATCACATTTCCCCCTATGAATGTCTCAGGGTTTTAAGATCTTTGGAGGAGGGCTTTCTGCCAATCTTACCACCCTCACAGGCTTTATATTGACGTAAAACAGGACCTTTTTAGTGGCTTCTGCCAAGCTGAAGAACTCCCACAAAAAATCAGGATGGCCCCCTTCTGCTGATTATCTGCCAGCAGGCAAAGCCCTTTCTTTCTGGGGAAGCTTTTAATAAGCATAGGACATGATTTAAATGCGAGAATTGTGTTCTTTATCTTTTAAATATTGTTCCTAAATTATTTCTCTTACTGACATGTTAAAGCTGATTTTAGTTTCTAAAAATTGTTTACGGGGAATTCCTTCACATCTGACTGTTGCCATTGTCTTAATTCAAGTGCTGATAACAGATTTTAGTTGTGTGCCTGGAAGGGAGGAATATAGAAGAGATTACAATAATAGTTCCATGTGAGAGAAACATGGTCATAGTATCACTAAAACACAAGGTACAAGTTAGTTTCTAAATTGTAATGTGCCCAGCGTAGATGTCTTAACTTTAGTATGCCTAAGATGGGGAAACTGTGTACCCTTTGTGCCAGTGCGATGGCTTCATGTCGCTTGAAAGATTTTTAAATTGCAGATAATTCTTCTTATAATGGCATAGAACAAGGACACAATCTAGCAATTAGTCAAGGGCTCTTCCAGATGTAGCCAAAGGTTCCACTCCCTGAATCCCAATTTATCCTTGTTGGTTGTGAGGGAACATCAGGTTTACCATGATTCACATTCAGACTGTTCTTTTAAATTTATTTTCTGTAAAGCCTGTAATGAGGATTGTAGGCCAATAATCCTTTAAAAATTACATTTCAAAGAATAGTGTTCCCTTTCTGAGCTTCTCTTCTGGAGCCTCTTAAATAGTATTTTGAAATAATTGAAATCTTTGGAGTGAGCTCTGCTGTGGACATCTAAACTACAATCCGTTCCCTGAACAAAGTGAGAAATTAAATAAGCCACACCTTGCAGAGGGGAGAAAAGCTATGGAAGATCTTGTTTTCCCTCCACAAATTTTTGGTAAAGGTGCCGAGGCAAGCCTTATTTATTTTTATATTATTTTATTTATTAGATTTATATACTGCCCATCTAGAACGTGCCTACTCTGGGCGGTTATGTCATCTGAAGGGAAGGTAAAATACCAAGAACTTCAGTGACAATCAGATACATTTGAGGGAACAAATGATGCATCTGAAAGAACCTCAGAAAAGTTTTAAATACTCTGAATGACCACATTGAAACCTGGACAGTTTAGTAATATTTGCAGGGTCATGGCCCAAGTTGTTTCAATGTTATTGTACTAAGCGCTTGAGGATAAAGTCTCATTGAATACAACAGTACCTTTCCAAGACAAATTGTATAGGATCATATTTCCTATGCATGTAAAAAGCAAATTTTACTTCTGTTTTCTGAAACCAAGAATGTCTTCCTTAAATTCTGTTGTTTTATGCTTGATGCCTTCTTATTTTTGCTCTTGATCAGATTTTGTCTATTTTTTTTAAAAATAGAACAAATTAAAACTTATTTTGTCCTGCTTTCAAGGAACTGTTAATTGCTTTTCCAGAAAACAATGTATTTTTCTTCTCTTAGATTTAATTTTAATCCTAAAGTAAACTTGCCTACATCATTAGACTGAAATAACATTTTGTGCCCTTTAATGTTTTATGTAGTAATATTTAATGTATTTTGTGGATATTCTGTCTTCTTCCATAAACTTTTTAAAGTGTTTATTTGTTCACTCACATTTCAGATCAGAATGTGTTGGATGATGTGCAGAAGCTAGTAAATGATGAGACTTACATACCAAAGCAGCCTCAGGAATTCTGTGGACGTGTCTTAACAACTTGCTATATGGCTAGTGAGAACTCTTCGCAAGAGACACGCAACAGAGCCAAATCTTTGGCTGAAGAGATAGGCAGGTATACGGGCATAATGCTTGAGTAAAATACATAGTGCACTAAAACACAGATGGTTCAGTCTGGGCACAACAGCTATAGTGGCACCAGATCTGAAGCTCATCCAGGTAAGGAATTGTGTTCTTTTGTGCCAGTTTGCTTTGGTATATCAGGACAATCCAACAAAGTTATCTAAGGGTAGAATAAGATGGGCACAAACCTCGGTTTGGAGATTTGTGCTGGTCCATATGCTCAGCACTATCTCTGTGGCTGGATTCCTCACCCACCAGCTGCCATGTGCTCCTTTCCATTTCCTCTTCAATTGTTTGATCAGCCTCCAGCAGGCTTCCTAGCCCCACGCCCTTTGCTGATTGCCCACTCATACAAGGAGGCAGGACAGGCAAACCCATGCTGGAGGAGAGGAGCCATTCTGACTAGTGAATGGAGAAGGGAATGAACCAGCATGAACCTACGAACCAAGGTTTGTGCCCATCTCTAGTGTAGAACTTGGAAACCTTGCAGTGTTGGCTTGCCTGATACATTAATATGTATCTCACTAAACATTTTAAATCACTTTCATTGTAGACTAGGGTCCTCAAAGATTTTTATAAAGCAGAATTGTTACGATTTTTACAAAGCAGGAGTATAAAAAAATAAAGAAAGCAGGACTTTTAAAGTGGGATTTGGAAAGGCATGGAGTGAAGCTAAACTGGCTCCTAGCTTGTCACACACTTCATCAGAGACTAGGTCCATGCATGATGCTTGTTAATGGCATATGGTGTGCTATGAGGGAAGGCCTCTGTGCAAAAATGCTGTTAGTCAGAGTTTAGGGTCATGCCATTTATGCGACTTATGAAAGACTGATGGGATGTGCCCCAGTGAGGTATCTCATCCTGGTTTAATCCCTTTCTCCCTCCAACACAGGTCAGCTGGGTACCTCCGGAAGCTCACAACGAGGATGTCATAAATATGGCCTTCCCTATTTCTTTGTCTAGGGCAAGTCCCCCTGGTGCACTGTAGTCTAGAATCAGCCATTCTCAGTCTTTTTTAGCCATAGCCGTAAACACAGTAGGAAAGAAATATAGGCCAAATCAGGATTATATAAGCCGGATAACAAACTTTATAATGTGGTGTATGAAGAATTGTTTCCAGTCTGTACCTCCCTTCAAAATGGCAGGGTCCCCCAGGGGCTCATATGGTCCCTGTTGAGAACAGCTGATCTAGATTATATGATATGTAGTTTCCATTAGCTTCAGCCAGTGTGATCAGTGTGGTCCAGAATAATAGAGATTGTAATCTGACTTTATGCTAGAGCACTTGGCTGAGGAAGGCCAGTGTAGAATCTGGTGATCAGAGACGTGTGGCCTTTCAGTATGGAGGCAGTACATTCTTCTGGGCATGTCCTGTGTTACCATTGGACTGATTCCTCATCTTTCTACAATAGTAGTGAAGTAGTTCTGTCTGAATCTGGTGACTTTGAACTCAGCTGCTGAACCAGTGGTTCGTATCTTATCAACAATTTCCACCTGCATGGTGAAAAAGGTTGAGATCACTGTGTTCCTTCAATCCATTTTGAATTTTGTTACCAGACTGCCCGAGGCTCATAGTCAGAACAGTGGCTGAAGTCTAATTGCTAGTCCTTAACAGAGTAGACCCATTAAAACAATTGCTGATTTGTAAATCAGTTTGTGGAGATCCCACTGATTCAGTGGGCCTGGCAGATTTAGGCCAGAACTACATGAGAAGGTTCTGAAAATCTTCTGTATAGAGTAAGATAACGCCTGAAAAGGTTTTGCGGAAACTGGCAAAGCAAGGGGCATTCATTGTTCAGCCAAAACCATGAGGTAAAGCACTGGTTCTTAACCTTGGGTTACTCAGGAGTTTTGGACTGCAACTCCCAGAAGCCTTCACCACCAACTGTGCTGGCTGGGGTTTCTGGGAGTTGCAGTTCAAAAGCATCCGAATAGCAAAGTTTAAGAACCACTGAGGTAAAGGATAATGATTGTGACATTGAATCTTAAGTTGTTTCTTTAGTATATTAAGAGATGTTTGGATTGGACTGAGAAGTAGTGAGAAATGTTGGATTGTATTCCAAACAAGATTAAGGAAGTTCGTGAAAATAGAGTTTTTCCACTCTCGCCTTTTCCCAGCAGTCATATACAGTCTTGAAGGACCTTCCTGGTCAGAGAAGGGGCAATTCTGAACAACATGGTATTGGGTGTTGAGATGGAGGAGAGGTACAAGAGACTTGCTTTTCATGAGCTTCCCTCCACTAACTTATCTTAGATCCAAGTTTATTTCATTTGAGACAATTAAGAATTTCAAGAAACCTCAGAAATTAGGTGTGACGGACAGTCCAAATACCCAGCTTGTCCATCACAGTAGAACACTGATGTGATAACCAAGGACAGTACAGGAGGGCGCAACCAGGATAATAAAAGGACAGAAAGACAGTTATAATCAGTTTGAACTAGTGAGGAGTTAGTTTAAGCAGTTAGGGCCAGGGTTGTGTTAGAGAGAAGAGTAATAGAGAGATTGAGAATAAGATAAGAAAAGGACAAGTCTTGGAAAGTTTATATGATTAAGATTGGAAAGAGTTAAAAGTGCTAAGAAATAAATAGTTGAATATATAAATACCTTGATTAAAATGAATCTACATAAGCAAACTTAAATGTAATCAAAGCAATGTTTATTGAATGAATAATAAAAGGCCCTCCATGATTTTCTTTATATGATTTACCTACAAACACATAAATAAACTTTGTTATATTGTATAACACTGATCTAATTGTCATATTTGGTACAGTGAGGAACATATCCTCTGGTGGCAGCGGAAAAGAGTGAAAAGTACATGTCATGCCCGAAAGGGAACCTGGGTGTGTAGAAAAACAAACAGGGGAACTGGGGGTGTGTGACATTAGGTTTCATTAGAGTCAATCTGTGCACCTTTTCCCCCCCTCAAGCTACCATATAAATATAAATATAGATGGAGCAGTGAAAGCCATTTGGGGAATTTTCAATGCAGTGACTGGACGACTGCCTCAGTATCAAGTGCATGGAGGAAGTGCCAGGGAAAATCTAGCCTTGCAGAATGTGCAGGTATTGTCATAATTTTTCTGTTATTCTTCTAAGATCCATTTTCTTGTCAAGCAGTGTTGCTGGTTTGGTGAGGGTTTTGTATATGCTTGTTGAAGCATAACAGTGTGGTGGAACTGAACTCTCATGATTTCCACCATTACATTTCTTTCTCTAGCAACAAACATTGTCCACTTCCTGAAGAACTGTAACACTGCTGTTGCATTGCAGTCCCATCTACCTTTCCCCTCTCATAACTGCTGATCTGCAAGTTGCTTCAGTTTGGTCTTTTATATATGGGAGGGAAAGTCTTTGGCACATTCGGTGTTAGGGCCTACAACTCCCATCAGCCTTGCTTTGCAGGACCAGTAGTAAGGGAGGACAGGTGTTAGAGTTTGGCAGAACTGCGTGTAGGTTTCTCATTTCTGCTCTGGATTGCTCTTAATATCCAGCACTGATACCAACCTACAATTTTAAGATATCCGTTCCTTTAAGAATTCCTGTTACATTAAAGCCAGATTTCTAAATTTGACTTCTAGGCCAGAATAAGAATGGTTCTCGCCTATCTGTTTGCCCAACTATCTTTATGGAGCCGTGGAATGCCTGGAGGATTGTTAGTGCTTGGGTCATCTAACGTGGATGAAAGGTATGTGCATGTTAAAACTGTTGGGTGTTAGAAGTGCAACTCTTTATTGGTATATGCAGATTTCTAAAATGCTGGGAGCCACTTTGACAACAGAATATTTCACTCAATATGGATTCTTAGCCTCAAGAAGAGTAATTGCATCCCTACTCAGGTTGCAATATTGAACTGGGCCAAGCTTTTCTACTACGGAACAGAGCAGAAAGGTGTCCCAGAGTGATATGGGCAGTCAGCCGATAGGCTTTATGAGAATCCTGGCATGCTCTCGGTAGATGGTGTGCCAAGGAAGGGGATAGTCCCAGGCCAATGCCTCAGCAGCTTTTGCAGCTAACCAGGGCCTGTAGTTCTCATTCCAGAGCTTCATTCATCATTTCAGAGAACTTAGGACATCCTTCTTCAATCTTTTTTGTCCAAATCCTAAGGTGAATCTAGGAAAGAAATGGATCTTGCTAGATATGAGGGAAGGACTTCAGCAGGGCAAGGGACTTCAGCAAGTCTGATGTTCTGTTTGTCTCTCCTCAGCAAGCCACCATGAGTGGGAAGGTCTCCGAGGACTTCCTGGCTAGGATGAGGTTCAAACTTGTATTGTTCAGGAGTGTGAGAGTTTGGGGTTAGCTGTTCCCAGCAATTTGGTGCTCATCCACCCAAAAAAATGCAGCTGTGTCTGTTGCCTTTAGCACCAGTGCCTGTCTTGTTAACATTTCTAGGGCTTCGCGAAGACTTTCACGGCTGGGATCTAATGGTTGTTGTGGGTTTTTCGGGCTCTTTGGCCGTGTTCTGAAGGTTGTTCTTCCTAACGTTTCGCCAGTCTCTGTGGCCGGCATCTTCAGAGGACAGCACTCTGTGACACCAGAGCACAGAGTGCTGTCCTCTGAAGATGCCGGCCACAGAGACTAGCGAAACGTTAGGAAGAACAACCTTCAGAACACGGCCAAAGAGACCGAAAAACCCACAACAACCATTTCTAGGGCTGCCATCTTTTTTAAAGCATTATGGATTGGACTGCTGTGTTTCTGCAGTGGCAAAGTATCTACCATGTTCTCTAGACTCACAGAGAGAGTATGGCTTAACAAGAAGATGACGGCATATACCAAGATCCAGGTCTATAGAGCCTGTGTCCTGAGCACACTCCTGTATTGCAGTGAGTCCTGGACCCTTTGTGCACGACAAGAGAGAAAGTTGAACAGGAGAGAAAGCGTTGTCTCTGATGGATTTTTGGTATCACATGGCAGAACAAAGTTCCAAATAGAGTAGTCCTAGAACGGGCTGGAATTTTTAGCATGTATACATTACTGAAACAGTGCCATCTACATTGGCTTGGGCATGTCGTGAGAATGGCTGATGGTCGGATTCCAAAAGATCTCTTGTATGGAGAATTAGTGCAAGGAAACCGGCCCATAGGGAGACCACAGCTGTGATACAAGGACATCTGCAAGCAGGATCTGAAGGGCTTAGGAATGGACCTCAACAGATGGGAAACCTTGACATCTGAGCGTTCAGCCTGGAAGCAGGCGGTGCATCACGGCCTCTCCCAATTTGAAGAGACCTTTGTCCAGCAGGCCGAGGCAAAGAGGCAGTCTTGAAAACAGCAAAATCAGGGAACTGGACAGGGGGCAGACTGTATTTGTCTTCAGTGTGGAAGGGATTGTCACTCTGAAATTGGTCTTATCACATGCTAGACGCTGTTCCAAGACCTCCATTCACAGCACCTTACTATAGTCTCTCGAGACAGAAGGATGCCTAATCCTGATAATCCTAAAGTTTCTGCAGAAACAGGTGGTGCAGTTTTAACTTTAGGCATAAGATTTGCTGTGCTTGGACAAAGGACTGAAGCCATAGGGTTACCCACCTACTCTAAACCGAAAGAGCTAACATGATTGAAGGGTTCAGCCTGCCAGATCAAGTTTGTGCAATCATTTGTGCTACAAAATTTTGGATGCCAGTCTTTCTGTAACTTTTAAAACATGCAGTCACTAGTATGAGTTGGTCTTCTGCTTGTGGAGTAATGTCAATGGATAACAGATACAGATACATGGAACTAGGCATATTCTTCTCTCCTTGATTGTTTAAATCTCAGAAGCGTGCAGGATGTTCACACTATTGTAATAATGCAGTGCATTATGAGAATCTGTGACATCTTCTTTCTTCCCTTGTCAGTTTGTGTGTTAAGAAAAAAATATTTATGTTTCATCCCATAGCCTTTGGGGATATTTCACCAAGTATGACTGTTCCAGTGCTGACATAAACCCTATTGGCGGAATTAGCAAGACAGACTTGAAAAGCTTTATCCAGTATTGCACTGAGAATTTTCATATAACATCGCTGGAAAGGTAAGAGGGGACATGAAGAATGGTGATCCCCTTTAAATAGGAGTGTGGCCTTCTCAGTTGCTTGCAAACATGTTTCTTGCTGCAGTAAGAAGGATTGATTTTGTGTGAACATGCATCTGTTTGGATATACAGTAGCTTCTTCAATGTGATATTGGCCTTCAATAAAGTGTTCACCTTGATCAATCTGGGAAGCTGGAGCAAGACTTTATTTGTTTGTTTGTTTGTTTGTTTGCTGCCCATCTGGCAGCCAAGGCCACTCTGAGTGATTTACATCAACTGGACAAAACGATAGAATAAGAAAATAAAACAACATCAATAAATTAAAAGTGCAAAACAAAATACCATAATATACAGTGAAAACAGGAATACAATACAATACATTACAATTAAAAACATAAAAACATGGTGATATGATGATTATTATTGGGCAGTGTTGCATCAGGCTGTTGTTTGTTCAGGAAAGGCCTGTCTAAATAGCCATGTTTTTAATAGCTTTAATGGCTGGAATCCTGTTAACACCTGCCAGTGGCCTAACTTTCAGCAACAAATTGCCACAAGTTCAGGAACTGTTGTAGGTGTTTCCTGTTGCAGACCAATCTTGTGATTCTGTGTACGATAGGAAATTCTGTTCTGACTTCTTAACTTGTAGCAGTTTGTCAGTGGAAATCACACTGTTGACATTACACTGGCAGAAATGTACAGTAGAATTCTGACCAATGACCATTAAAAACCCTTCTATTTTCCTTTAGGGAATTAGAGAGCAAGACCAGCCACGTAAGATGAAGGATGAATACGTTTAGTTTTGATCTGGTTAATGCTCCATTTGCCTGAGATGTATCCTCGATATTAAATGGCGTATTAATGTACATTTCTGAGCCAAAATTGAATTGAGTAAACCATGAGTGTAAGAGCAGTCATCCAGCATTTCTTCTGCTCCAGCTAGCTCTCCCCCCTGCAGTCCATCAAGCACCCAGTTTCTCAAGAAGATGTGAAGCAAAGCCTCTAGAGAGGTAGAGATGCTACACATTTGACTGTAAATATTGACATATGTGACCAAGATTTTGACATAATAATGTCATAGCATATGCCCCAGATATTCATTGTATATCCAGTAGTACCTCGGTTTACAAAATCGAGATGTTACATAATGCGGAAATTACATAAACTGAGGTGTACGTAAACTGAGGTACTACTGTATATTATTCCATTAATTGTTCTTGGAATGTGGAACATACTGAGTCAGGGTGTTAGTAAAATCCCCTGTAGTAACATAACATGTACTTTTTGAAAAAAGTAGATAAAAATATTAATCTGATTGGTTGGATTTCTTTTGCTACACAGTGTTGTGTCTGCACCACCAACAGCAGAATTGGAGCCCCTGAAGAAAGGGCATGTTGCTCAAACAGATGAGGTAAATGACAGCAAGTACAAAACTCTCATAAGCCTCATGTGTAGTTGTGTTTATTTGTGTGTGTGTTTGAAAAATGATCACCAAAATTGAGCTAAATTCTGTGTAAGGAAAAGCCAGATTTTGTGATATGAACAAATTAATGTAAAATGTGTATGGTTGACACAAATACACACAATTATTTATGTTGGAAATCTGTAAGGCAGGGGTGGGCAATTTGTGACCCTTCAAACTCCATTGAACTCCAGTACAAAGCTAATGGGAGTTGCAGACACACACCAGTTTCTATAGGCTTATAGGCTATGACTGAAATCCTGTTGCTTAATTTAAGAAAATGTATGACTTTCAATTAGTTCCTAAAAGGACAAAGAGAGCTCTTGCTGCAATTCTTAGGCGCTCTGCGTGCATTCACACATCAAGCCAATGTGTATGTGTGCTCCCAAGAATCGTGGGGATTCCTTATTTATCAGCGAGGACTGGACTGAAAGTTACAGATTTTCTTATGCTGAGGAACAGGATTTCAGCCTATAGTGCAGAACACAATAGCATAATTGTCTAATTTTACCAAAGATGGTTTGAAACAAGACTCAATGACATAATTGCAAGGCACTATAATATAGCTGCCTCATTTCACCAGGGATGGCTTCTTGCAGGCTTGTGATACCCATAAGTCTCTGGGGATGTCACAACTAAGACTCCAATAAATCAGAACAAGGAATGTTTACCTTTATGTTTTAGCCTTCAACTTCCAGAAGTTCTGCTGACTGTGTTAGCCAATAGTATGGGGTTGTTGATTCATAGGCTGAAACATCTGGAGGACCTTAAATTTATCAGTAGAAGCAATATGCATCTGCTTTGTCGTATGTATTATGCTTTGCTTCCCCATAAATATTTTTGAATGTGTGTCAGAGGTTTTACATCAGGATTCATTCATCTGGAATAATTATAAATGGCCTATCTACACACTGGGTGTTTCAGTCTACACAGTATTTTGTGAAAACAGCAGTTAAAAGAAACAATAAAACTATGCGTGAAAACATTAAAATAAAAAAGGGAGCCATAGCAAATACCCTATAAAATCAGAAAGCAACATTAGAAACTATTAAAATATTGATGGAGTGAAAGATTCATCCCTGCCTATCTAAAGCATAATATAAAGGTGGTAGCTTGACTTCTTAAGGAAGTTTTTTTTACAATTGGGCTGCTGCTACAGAAATTGGAGGGCCACGGAAATGCCTTGTCTTAAAAATCTTTTGGAAGATTTATCAAAATGTTGTATTTTATTTCCTTATTTGAAAGACATTACTGGCCTTCATCCTGATGGGTTTCAAGTTTGATTGATTTCCTTTGCTACTGATGCATTTTTTCAGAAGGTTGTATGTTCTCAGTGGCAGAGCATGTGTTTTATATTCAGATGATTTTGGATCCAGTCCCAGAAGTGTCCAAGTAAGAACCAGGGTTTTAGACTAGAGATGGCATTCATACTTCCAGTGTAGAGTGAATTACATCACTTGACACTGTACAAGGAATCACTTTGTAAAATGCTTTTTTATATTTAAAAAAAAAACACTGCTGGTGGAAACCATGGCCAACAGGAGTATGTTAGATCAGAACTTTTTCTATCCGATGGCCTGTTGTTGTTTTTTACTCCAAGGGAGGTGTTATCCCCATTTGAGGACCTTTTTATTCTGCAGCTTATGGGCACATGGCTTCTATCAGCAAACCTAGACAGCTTTGGAGCTGGACTAGATTAACTGTGGGTCTAATTCTGTGTAAAATGGATTTTTATGAATTTAAGGGCATTGCCCTAACACGTTTCTTCTGTCTTCTCCCATTCTCTCTTTGGTTTTGTCTGTGTGATTTCAGGAGGATATGGGGATGACATACTCTGAGCTTTCTGTCTATGGCAAGCTAAGGAAGATAGCAAAAGCTGGACCTTACACCATGTTCTGTAAGCTGATAACAATGTGGAAGGAGATCTGTGCTCCAAGACAGGTAAGCAGAATAAATTTTCCATGAAGCATGTGCATGTACATGCGTGTGCGCATACACACACATGCACACAGACACGTATGTCCTGGGGCTGATTTAATGCACTTTTCAGCCTAACTTGGACAGCTGTCTGGTAATATTAGTTTAGGTCTTGGAGGAAAGTTACCTTTTCTTTCCCAAACTGCCCACTAAGTGGGAAGGGAGAGAGTGGATGAGCAGAAGAAGAGGAGTAGAGGTTACAAATGGGAAGCTTGCCTAATGTTGACTCTGGTCCCATCGGCTACTAGTTTCAGCCATGACAGACTTGTTTTAATCTCAATTAATAGTTTGCCCTATTAAGACTGTCCACTCCTGCCCTGAATAAACATGCTATAAGATTCAATTCCTCTGCTAATGACCTACATGAAAGACTTTTTGGAACCACAAGGATAGTCCTTTGAAAGCTGTGATTGTATCCAAGAGACTCTTTTGTCACACCTGGTTCTTTGCACTTTTGTACTCCAGTTCTGTATGCTGTTGTCATATAGTTCTGTATGCTGTAGCATACTATAGTTCGGTATACTATAGTCTTATGGCAATCGTTTTCACATGAGCCATTTCCTTGAAAGTGATGCTGTATGCTGTTGTCATATAGTTCTGTATGCTATAGTCTTATGACAATCGTTTTCACATGAGCCGTTTCCTTGAAAGTGATGCCTGAAGTTGGGTTAGACTGGACATAGTTGAAACCAGTGAGGATTCAACTGCTGAGCTGTATGCAGGATTGGAACCTATAAATGTCTGAATTACTTTTAGTCACAGTCTGTCTTGTTTGAGTGCTTGAAACATTCTCATTATCTGGTATGCAGATTTAGATTAACAGTTTCATTCTCCCTCCCCCCCCCTTTACTGTGCTGTGCTGTTTTTAGAACTCTTTATTATTTCCATATTTTCTAGTTAAGGTTGAAATACCTCAGTCTCTTGACCCTGAAATACTCTGTTCTGTACACCAGGTGGCAACAAAGGTTAAACATTTCTTCAGAATGTATTCTGTCAATAGACACAAAATGACTACACTCACACCTTCCTACCATGCTGCAAACTACAGTCCCGATGACAACCGTTTTGATCTAAGACCTTTTCTTTATAATTCTGCCTGGTCCTGGCAGTTCAGGTGTATAGATGAACAGGTAGGCATGATCTGGTTCTCTGTTTACTTCCTCACAGGGGGAGTAGGGTGTCAAAATCAATGGTATTTTTTTTAAAAAGATTGATTTAAATCCGGATTTAAATAAAAATTTGATGATTTGATTTAAATAGTCAACAAAACAGATTTTAAAATTTTTAATTGTAATTTACCCTGCCACGTTGGCCATTATAGTAGTGTGTGTGTGTGTGTGTGTGTGTGTGTGTGTGTGTGTGTGTGTGTCTCTCTCTCTCTCTCTCTGTGTGTGTGTGTGTGTGTGTTAAACACAGTATATGTACAGAGGAAATGTGGGTCAATCTGAAGAGCAGGTGTAATTTCCAGCAGACAGGTCATCATCCTCATCACTGTTACCAGCATCTCCAGCAGAAACAGATGTCAGTATATTAAAGGGACATTAAGAAAGTACATGTTCTGCTGTGTTCTCAATCTGAAATTCATTCTGGGTGTCCCGTGTCAATGTACAGTATTTTAGCCTCTATTGGTTTTAATCAAACTTACAATACAATCTAGCTTCTAGGCAATATTTTCTGCTCCTCTCTGTGTTGATGTTATGGGTGACAAAAACAGGAAGTGGCATTCTTTGAAGGAAAAGCAGGCCATCTTTTAGCCCAATTTGACTTGGGCTAATAGGGCAATAGGCTTCTGAGCTATTCTCCTATCCCTTCTAGTCAGGGCTGTGAGAATGGCTGTTTGTAGCCTCTTTTCTGTGTTCTTAATAATAGTGGATGAATTGGATGTTTTCCAAAGTGGTGTTTTCCTTCTCGCATGCACCTGAAAAAATCCAGTGGGGATTTGTGGCTATGTTGTCTCTTTGTCAAGTTCTTCCAAAGTACTTTTTCTCAAGCCTGGGACAAATGTAAGCTTTTTCCAGCCAAAACATCTATTGCAAATGGTTCTTTGGCCTTTAGGAGGTTTGAACATATTCTCTTCCCCAAGGGGAAGGTTCATTAGGCCGTAGCTGAAGTTCTGCTTTGCATCAGCATTTAACATTGAGGTCAATGGAGTTTAGACCTGGATGTGGCTCTCTACTAAGTTTGGGACTGAAGGCATGGAAAAGATCAAGCAGCCATAATAATTATGACTTGCTCGTGGTCTTCAGTCACAGCCATAACATTATTTTAATATATTTTCTTTTGCTGGACAGAGGAATGTTAACACCTCAGTTTTTTCCCTGCCAAAGATTTTACACCTTAGTTGCCTTTAATACTATGTTTATGTGTGCAATAAAATGCTAATTCCCACCTCCCTGAAATGCCAGACATGCTGTAAGAGTATCTGACTTCCTGGAAACTCAAGATAAAAGATGCCATGTGGTCTCTACCTTCTTTTCTTTTTTTTAAAAAAAGTCTTTGTATTGTTTTTTCATCATTTTTTCCACAACTTAGGCCGACCCAGTCTCAGTGAAGTCAAAAGTAAAAAATTCCTCCTGCTTTCAATGAGAACTCGTTTTGATATTATTGAGGGGAGTGTCATATTTTTTTTAAAATCTTTCTGTGCTTGTAATAATTTATGGGCATAAATAATCGGGACTTAAGTATCTAATTACCCGGTATGTTCAGTCAGTCATTAGCCTTTGCCAGATGCCTTTGCAGCTTTGCCAGTACACAGTGCTTGAGCTTCGTGTGGAGGCTGGACTGCCTGAAGTGGGAGGCAGGCGGCACATGTTTTCAGCTTCCATGGTGTGAATGACAAGATGACAATCCCCATTTGTATCTGTTCAGGAGGGCCTCTTTTAACTTAGCTAGTAGCTCAAACTCACTTCAGTATGATGTCACTGAATTGGAATTTAATAATTATGTCCTGTATTTGTTCCAAGAGACTATAATATAATCATTACTTTAGAAATGATTCATTTTAGGCTTTTTGCTATTTTACTCTGAGTAGGATAAATTTAGTCATTGCTAGGCTAATGCAATTCACCTATTACTTTTGTGAATGGTCACCTGCCTACATAGTTTACATCTAAGCTTTTTACATGATTAATCTTTAGCGTGTCATGAGACCCTTTTGTTAAACAAAAGAGGCAGATTTCTGCATGTCTTCCATCTATTAAAAATAGAGCAGCAACCTTGAGACCTCTCAGAAGAGGTGCAGCAAATCCATTAAGAGTAGCATGATGTGATGCATGCCTTCATTAGACAAACAGTATGTGAGAGTACCAGGCATAACTTATCTCTATGTTTTCCTTCAGTAGATGAAGACATTCAGATATCTGCCTCTTTTGCTTAACAAAACGGTCTTGTGACATGCATAAAGCTCAAAATGGGAATTCTTTCAGTTCGTATGCTGTAGTGTCTAGCATGACAGTATTTATTAATGAAAAATGAAATGTTCTGAAGTAGTAGAGGGAGAGAGTTATGACCCCTTCATTTCCTGGAAGTAAACTCTGCCATAAAGTCAAGTCCATCAGGTCCCTTGTTTGTACAACTGACTGGGATTAATGATAACCTTGACATTACTAAGCCCCCAAATTAAAATGTGCCACTTGATTGCTTACAATTTGGGAATGAAAAACAGAAAGTTTTGAATGAAGGAAATTGTATTAAACCTATCGTCGGGATTAATGATAACCTTGACATTACTAAGTGCCCAAATTAAAATGTGCCACTTGACTGCTTACAGTTTGGGAGTGAAAAACAGAAAGTTTTGAATGAAGGAATTGTATTAAACCTATTATATTCCTGCATTGAGCAGGGGGTTGGACTTGATGGCCTCGTAGGCCCCTTCCAACGTTACTTTTCTATGATTCTGTGATTCTATTGTTAATAAATAAATAGGTTTCCACAATGAGACATCATAGTCAAGGTGATCCGAAAGCCATATCCTTAACTACTGGGTTTCCCTACTCAGTGATGAAAGAGATTTTCTTTGATCAACATTTTGTATGATAGCGATTAGAAATAAAACTTTTTACAAAAATATAAATATGTGAGATAGTTCCAACGTAATGTGGAACTATGATTTGCCCATCTTTGAAGTACCTGATGCTCACGTGCTTTTATTTCCCCATTGTCTGATGCTCACGTGCTTTTATTTCCCCATTATACGTCACGTTTCTTTGATTTGACCACCAATTTAGCAGCAAACCATAGTGTGCTGTTACAGCAGAATCAGGAAAATGATAGTTTGTGCAAACCATTATTTCTTAGCAAGGTACAATTTCTTGAGCATTTGCAATGATGATTTGTGTAACAGATACATTTTTCATTTCTCACATCATGGTTCTTGTAACTGAAGCAGTGGGTTGCTGTTAAATTTGAACATATAGGAGAGGAAGAAAGGAGAGGTGTACAAGTATAGTGCTTATTATTTTAATAACCATGTTTAGGTGTTACGTTTGAACCATCTTATTTATTGGTCAAGTCTCCATTGACCTACAGTGCATTGAAAACCGATTAATCCCGTAACAGGCCGTTTTTGTTCCATTTTGGTTTTTTTCTGGTCTGTAAGTCAAATCTCAGTCTGCAAGCCAAACCTAAATTTTGCGGCCAGAGAAGTCTGTAACTCAAAAAGTCTGTAAGTCAAGCCGTCTGTAAGTCAAGGGTCCACTGTATAGTGCTTGAAAGAATAGTGTTTATTCTTTTAATAACCATGTTTTGGTGTTACATTTGAACCATCTTATTTATTATCCGCCTAGAGTGGCCTGGTGGGCCAGATAGGTGGGGTATAAATTAAATCAATCAATCAATCAATCAATAATCAAATCAATCAATCAATCAATCAATCAATCAATTGTTTTTGACATATTTAGTGTGATTACTTATTAGTGTACTAGTAACATTTGCAATAATGTTTTGTTCTCAGGAGGACTCAGCTGTAGAATGCCATATTAATATCCTCAATGTAGTTCATTCTTCATGATCTCTGTGAATGCATATGAATGAATGGGTTATGTCTGTGCCTGCTTTCTAGAGCTTTCAGTCACACATTGACATTCCCCCCTAGTTCACATGCTCCATCCATCTGAAGAGCCCCTCTATTCCTTTTTGTTGCCGCTGAGGTTAGACTCTTCTTGACGTTGGAGCTGTGTTTTGCTTCTTCTGTCTTTTGCAATAATGTTTTGTTCTCAGGAGGACTCAGCTGTAGAATGCCATATTAATATCCTCAATGTAGTTCATTCTTCATGATCTCTGTGAATGCATATGAATGAATGGGTTATGTCTGTGCCTGCTTTTTAGAGCTTTCAGTCACGCTAGGACATTCCCCCCTAGTTCACATGCTCCATCCATCTGAAGAGCCCTCAATTTCTTTTTGTTGCCACTGAGGTTAGACTCTTCTTGACGCTGGAGCTGTGTTTTGCTTCTTCTGTCTCTGCTGAGTTCTCCCTTTTTTCTAGAAAGTTCTTTCTTGGAGATTCACTGCAAGTGATCGCACTGGAAGATGACAGGCCACCTATACCACCCTCAGGCCAAGCTCTCTTCTCTGGATTGAGAATCGCCTAACTATGGCCATACTCCATCTGATGCCTTTGCCATCCTGGCCTCTGCTCCCACCAGCCCTGCATCCACAGGACAGGCCACGGCTATTCAGCCCTAGAAAGTTCTTTCTTGGAGATTCACTGCAAGTGATCGCACTGGAAGATGACAGGCCACCTATACCACCCTCAGGCCAAGCTCTCTTCTCTGGATTGAGAATCGCCTAACTATGGCCATACTCCATCTGATGCCTTTGCCATCCTGGCCTCTGCTCCCACCAGCCCTGCATCCACAGGACAGGCCACTGCTATTCAACTGTCGGACTTGGCTTCCACCATGCTGGAATCACCGCCACCCCAGAAGCGTTCTGCTAAAACATTCCACCTTTCTCCCTGCTATTCGCGTCTGAAGACCCATTATGTTCACGAGCTGTTTTGACACTGACTCAAAGTGGAATACTCTGAGGCCTATTATAAAGATTACAAGATGGGCTTGATGACAGCATGAGTACTTGGACCCATACTGGGAACCTGTTATCTGCTAGCACCACAATTGAAGAACCCAAGACAGCCATTATGCCTATGTATATTCCTCAGGCTCATCATCGCTATTGCTGTCTCAATATCGGCCCTACCCACCCACACTCTTCTTGAGAACTGCAATCTGAGCCGGATTTGGTATTGAAGCCTACCATGCCTTCATTTAAGAGGCCTCTTTCCCCAAATCCATTGCCCCTACCCTGCACTTCTTCATGCACTCACAACTTGCCCGAGCACCACCCTCTCCCAGGTCAGATCTTCTCCAGTACAGGTCACAACAACATACAGAGGACTACCTGGCTATTCTACCAAACCAACATGCATTGACATCAAACAGTGCACAGGCTTCCATACCGAAGCCTCTGCATTGATCTTTCATAGCACCCTTGTGGCCACGCCAGCCGTGGTTCACTACACTGAAAATGATGTCATCGGACTTTCTTTGCCTCCCTTGATCCCACCATCGTCTAACAGAGGGCAGTGGCAGTGTCACCCACCCAGGCCTTGGATCTCTCCACCTCACCACCTAGAGGATTCACACACATTAACTTCTGTCCTTGCCAGAGCAAGGAAGCCCTCTACCACCTTGCTGTACTCCTACAAATGGAATACTTTCACTACTTTTGCACAGTCTAAGGGCCTTTCAGTTATTTTGGATACACTTCTCTCCCACCTCCTACATCTTTTCAAATGTGGATTATCTCATTCCACCTTAAAGGTCTACATCACAGCTATTGTCACACATCAAGCTACATGTTCAGAAGCATCAACCTTGTTTTCCCACCCAACCCTCAAGAGGTTCCTTAGAGGGCTCAAGAACATTCGACCCTCAAATCTCCACCCCCACAGTGACCTGTGCAACCAGTACTCCACTATTTTGACCCGTCCGCCTTTTGAGGCTTTGGCTACTACTCCACACAAGTTTCTTTCCCTTAAAACATTGTTCCTGGTCACCATTACATCTGCCTGATGGGCTAGCACATTAGCAGTACTGTGGGTAGATCCTCCTTACCTCCAATTCCAACCAAACAAGGTCATCCTCTACCCTGACGTCTCCTTCTTACCCAAGATTGCCTATGATTTTCACATCAACCAACCTCCCGACTGTTCCCATCACCTTCCTCGGACTTGGAGCACACGCTCCACACCCTTAATGTGAAGTGTTCACTCACCTATGTTTCTCGTATAGCAAATTTCCAAAAGTCACCTTGCCTATTCATTTGTTACCAGGGCCAAACGAAGGATAGCAAGCATCTTTGCAGATGCTTTACTGCTGGACTGTCCAGGCCATAACCCTGGCTTATGAGCTGGCTAATAAACCCCCACCAGGCTTGGTCAGAGCGCAGTCTACGAGGGCCATCTCTACATCCACATCCTTGCTAAAGGGCATTGATATTTCACACATTTGCAGGACAGCTGCCTGGTCCAGGCCCTCAACATTCATCTCACAGATTTTTGGGCTAACAGGGATGCAAACTTTGGACAGGCTGTCTTGACGTCTGTCCTATCATGACAGCCCTCCTTCCAATAAGTTAGCATGCTAATCACCCATTCATGTGCATTCATAGAAATCATGATGAGGAAGGAAAGGTTACTTACCTGCAACTCTGGTTCTTTGAGTGGTCATCTGTGAATCCACACATCCTGCCCTTTGTCCCCTCTGTCTATCATGTATGTTTCCTTTTTTCACTGACAGCGACTTTAGATGGGCAGAGCATGCACACTGGGGGGGGGGGAAGGGACGTCCTAGTGAACATGGGACTAAAAGCTCTAGAAAATTCTGAGGAGTTCCGTGCAGCACAGACTTAACCCATTCATGTGGTTTCACAGATAGCTATTTGAAGAATCAGTTTCCCAACCATATAGAACACATAAATGTGTTACAAAATTCATGACAAGTAACTCCTTCCACCAAGATGTATCTCTTTGGAAGGTGCCATTTGGGAAAGAAAATGGAAGGGCAAAATAGCATCACTTACTTGCTTTTGTGAATTGTTTTCTCATAAATCTGCTTTTACTTAATAAAAATGGCAATGGGGAGAGAAGACTTAATACTAGCATTTGTGTCTAACGTGTAGTTCAGCTCTTAATCTGGCCTTTGTCCTTTTCATTTTGATAAAGGAGTAATTGGTTGTTTAAATTGCTATTTTACAGGTTTCTAAAGTAGAATCTGAGGAACTGAAGCCCAAGCCTGAAGATGTGGCTTGACTCTTCTCTTGTTGCTCTAAATGGATGGTGTTGACTATGAAATCATTCAAACATCCAACAACCTAGATATTATGAAGATCAGAAGATTTCTAAAAATTAAGGAATCAGTGCTGTCTCGTTAAAGACTCGTGTATTCTTGTAAGAATATTGAAATGATTATATTCCAGTGAATGCTCCAGTCCAAATGCATCTAACTCTTAACTGCAATCATTAATATTCTAAAAATTGAAACCCAAAGTAATGGTTTGTATATGTTACTGATGTAGGTTGGCCACGCAACAGCTTGAGTTAACTGTTCCAAAATTTGGTTGTTAATTAGTCATTAAATACCTAATTTACTGTCATAACAGCATTTTTGTATACATGCATATGTTCCCTTGGAAGTAAAGACTAATAAGCTCACTGAGGCTTCCTGTTAGATTAAATGGCTAGGAGTGCCTCCTAAACTACTGAATTCATTGTACTGCTCTGGGTGGTGGAAACGTTTAGAACAGGGGTCTCCAAACTTTCAAGCTTGAGGGCCACATATATTTTTCAGATTTTTGAGGGCCAAAGGAACATGCGTGCACGCATATTTGTGGTTGTCCGCCTGCATGGACTTCCGCCCACGTGCACGGGCTAAAAAGAACAGGCCAGATAAAATGGCAAGGTGAGCCGGATGTGGCCCCCGACTGTAGTTTGGAGACCCTTGGTTTAGAACAGGGGTGTCCAACCTTTCACCTTCCCTGGGCCACATTAGAAGATGAAAATTTGGTTTGGGCCGCATGGGGGGGCAGCCCTAGCCATCCTCCGCAGCCCCGCTCCAAGCGCGCTTACTGGCAGCTGCGATCTCAGACAGCAGAGGCTGCCAGCTTGGACTCCGGTGGCTGTATGGGGCCGGGAGGGGGTCCACCTATTGACGGGGATGGCGCAATGCAGTCACGCAGCCCCCCTCTCCCCTCCTCTCCCGCTCCTTCCTTCCCTCTCTCCCCACCTCCTGTTGTGACATGCCCTGGCCGCATTCCGGCCACAAGCACCGGCAGTGTAACCTGAAACTTTGGAATTTCTTTAAAAATAAAAAATGGTTACTGAGCCGCATTACAAGCTGACATGGGCCGCATGTGCCCACGGGCTGCAGGTTCGACAAGCCTGGTTTAGAAGATTGAGTAGTAGTTGCATCTGAGGTTTTGGATGAGAACCAGTGGGTGAAAATTGCAAAGAAGCAGATTTTGGCTAAACATTAGGTGAAATATTCCAAAAGGAGTAGCTGTTCAACAAGACTGCCTTGGGAAGAAGTGGGCTTTTTTTCACTGGAAGTATTTAAGCATAAACTGTGAATAGCCACCAATACTGTAGAAACATAACAAATCACCTTTTACAAAGTTAGTCCATTGGTCCATCTATCCTAGGATTATCAAAAGTGAATGGCAGCAGCTGCCCAGTGTTTACAGCCCTACATGGAAATGCTAGCACCTTCAGAATACAAAATTACTCTGCTTCTGATGTCATGATTCCATTACCAGAAACATTGGAAGTTAAATAATTCATAAACATCTCAGAAGTAGATTTGGGAGCCATGATGGAAGAGGGTTGGCATTTGTTGCCAAAGGTTGCCCAGTGATTTTGAGCTGGCAGCAACAAGGACAAATTCAGCTCATTTCTGGCAGTTTCTGGTAGACTGGGACAAATAAAATCCATAGGAACATCAGGTCGACCAGCCCTGATTATTAGCAGGAAGAGGTGTTTAGATGGCTGCTGTTGCTATAAAATCTGCACCCAGATGCTGGCAAGCTTGTGGAAGCAACAAGTCAAATCTCTGGCTCGCATCCACGTTCCTGACAACCTTGAACCTTGTTCTCTGGAGCCTTGGCTTTGGACTCTGACCCTGGACTACTGTGATTTGGCTTTGGACTCTGACCTTGGATTACGGTTTGTGATTTGGCTTTGGCATTTTGATATTGGCTCTGCATTCTCTGAACTTCTGACATTGGACTGGCTTATCCAACTCTGCTGTTGAAACCCCTGGGAACATGACATATTTCTTATTAAACCACTTCATGACATTGGAAATTCCCACTGGAAGGCATCTTGACAGCCAGAAGGCAAACTTTTGGTTTCTTTCCAGTGATCACATATACTGGAAACAAACCAAACTTAAGTGATTGTACCTGCGTCAAAAGAATAGAAACCCCTGACAGTGGCACATATAGCTCTCTTCTTTTTTTGTGAGATGGGTCAGTTTGAAAGTAACTGGTCTCGAATTTCCCATTGCATTTTATAACTGGGGAGGGATTTGAACTCAGGTCTTCCAGGTTCTAAACCACCACTCTAAACACTATATACACCTGACTTATATCTGTAAACATGTGTTTGGTACATGTTTACACATATAAGGCAGGGATACATTACAGTGGTACCTCGACTTATGAACGTCTCCACTTGTGAACATTTTTAGTTATGAATGGCTCCATTCGCAAAATGTTGCTTCGACTTGCAAACGAAACGTCAACTTACAAACGGAAAAAAAAACTTTCCTGCCCTTTTTTTGACCTAAGTCCATCTTAGGTCAAAAGAAGAAGAAAAATTCTCCCCCTAGTGGTACAGATTAACCGGCTCTGCATTAGTTCCTATGGGAACTAATGCCTCTACCTATGAACAGTGTCTCAACATACGAACGAAAAACAGCCTGAACTGATTAAATGGTTTTCAATGCATTCATATGGGAAATATTGCCTCAACTTACAAACATTTTGACGTACGAATGCCGTTCCAATACGGATTAAGTTCGTAAGTTGAGGTACCACTGTATTTTGGTTAGCCGCTCTAATACTTTAGCTACTTACATACTTACTGGTAACTTCCATTAGGTTTTGTTGGGCTTACACTGAGGTAAATGTGTATAGGACTGCAGTTTAAATTAGATGGATTTATTACAATGTTCTGGTGGAATGGGTGGCAACATTTACAATATGTGTAGTAGTTGTGTCTGAGATTTTGGGTGAAAACATAAAGTTTCAATACTTGGAAGCTGTAGGAATATATGGAAATAATTAATATGACCAACACCAGTCATAGCAACTCAGGCTTTAGTTCGGGAAAATATTTGCTCCTCTAATGAAAGGTCTGCATATGATTTTTCTCTTTTTAACTTGTTGAACTAAAATCATAAAATTTTACAACCACTGGCACATGTCGATGTGAAAAATGATTTTTTTTATTTTACTGTGCAATAAATTTACATTTTAATGAATCTAATTGGCTCTGTTTTTATTTTTCATATTTTTTGTTATTTACATAGGTTTAACTGCTTTGGTCTGGTGGCTTGGACAGCAAACTGAGGCTCTGATTAAGCTTGGTAGTGGAGTGTGTGATTAACTGTAAACATGGATATAATACTGCTGACGTCAGAATGGCCCGAACAGGGTTTCCTGGGGCCTGTTCCTGGCACTGGTGGTTATATGCTATATGGAATATCTGTTAATTCAGTTAAACGTCAGGCTCCGAGGGCTTACAATTGCATTATGTTTTTGCAGTGTTACTCTTGGTACTTGCCATCTGCCTCGTGTTATATTAGGGTAGGCCTTGTAGTTGACCACAACATTTTTGCTTATCTTTAATGAAATTGTAGGCTCTAGACATATGAGGTGCTGCTTTACAATGAACCATCTGGCAGTTCATTTTGGCCACCAGCAAAGCACCTGATTCCAATCACATGCACGCACCTTTGCTGCTTACTTCTACTGCTTGCACATGGGAATCAGCAAGTCCCAATCATTTGGTAAAGCTATTTTAATTTGAGATGCAGCTGTGACACTGCAGGTATAAAAGCTGCCACAACGAAAGGAAGTTTTGCACGTAGAAGATGTGCTTGTCATACATACGGAACAATGGGCTAGTCTGTTGCTTCTACCAGTTGTCGCCTGTGACGATACAATACTTAAGTCTTTTGCTTTCCATTCTGCTGATCATAAAAACTGCACCATAGCAGGGCCTTAAGAGCACAGTGCTGTCTGTTTGCTTGCCAATATTTTTATTTATTTATTTATTTTTTATTGGACTTATATACTGCCCCATAGCGCTACAAGCACTCTCCGGGCGGTTTACAATTTAATTATACAGGCTACATATTGGCCCCCCAGCAAGCTGGGTACTCATTTTACCGACCTCGGAAGGATGGAAGGCTGAGTCAACCTTGAGCCGGCTACCTGGGATTTGAACCCCAGGTCGTGAGCACAGTTTTAGCTGCAGTACAGCGTTTTAACCAGTGCGCCACGAGGCTCTATTGTTGTGTTCTCTTCAACGGGGCTTATTTACCCCATCATTAGATTTCAACAAACTAAATGTGGTTTCATAAGAACATTAGTGGCAAGTATTGCATGGTCATTCTAACTGTGCACAAGTCCAGTTGACACTTGAATGAGCCCAATAATGCTGTTACCTCTTGTTTCTTAAAACCTTCAAGTAATTGTGGGATGTGCTCACAGAATGGCTGGAGACGAAGAACAAGGAGCCCTTCAGAAGTCATGGTAGAGGCTCTGTTATGCTTTGGATTGCATTTCCCAGAATCCTTCTGCCAGTTTGGCCACTGGCTGTTGCTATCCTCAAAAGGAAACTTTCCAAGCATTTCTGAGGTGTATATTGGTGCTGAAATGCTAGGTGACCACATATAGCTTACAGGCCACACGTTGCCCAACCCTGCATTAAAAGAAAAAGCTATCCAGGAGGTATGAGCCTGGTCTACTTTATTGGGGAGCACTAACAATTGGATGGCAGGATACAAAATGGAAAAGGACTTGGCGCTGATTTCACAAAAAAGCAAAAGCAAAGCGTGCTGCTTATATAGCGCCCCATAGCGCTTGAAGCACTCTCTGGGAGGTTTACAATTTAATTATGCAGGCTACACATTGCCCCCCCCCCCAGCGAGCTGGGTACTCATTTTACCGACCTCGGAAGGATAGAAGGCTGAGTCAACCTTGAGCCGGCTACCTGGGATTTGAAACCCAGGTCGTGAGCACAGTTTTAGCTGCAGTACAGCGGTTTAACCACTGCGCCACGAGGCTCAGCCACACAACCCACCCCCAGAAAAATATATATGATCAACGTGTCAAATACATTTAAACAAACAAAGATGAGCATGTAACAGTCTATGTTTCTAAATGAGCTCCTGTTTGGGTGCAATACAATTATGCTAAGCCTTCCACAAAGGTTAAGACAATGGAGGGAACGGTGCAAGGTTTTGAAACAGACCTCTTAAAAAGTGAGAGGTGGAGCTTTGAACCATGAAGGACATTTCAGAGCTCTTTGAGATTTTGTCTCTGTTCATAGCATGTCCATAAACTTGAGCAGATGATGAGGAAAAATGATGGTACTGTATTTAGCTGGAGTCCAGCTTCCTATGGCTGTCCACTCTTGGTATGAAAGGGCGTCTGGTACCTTCTGGAATTATGTGATAGGAGACCAACAGCTTGTCTATTCCCCCCACCCCCATGTGGGTCTCTTTACCATAAGGATGTTTAAAGACACTGAGGCAGTTTTGTCACTGTTTTTATTCGTTCAGCAGGCCCTATGATTCAGCATCATGGTAACAGCACCTCTAACCACTGCGCCACGAGGCTCTTAAAGACACAGGCAGTTTTGGCATTGTTTTTATTCGTTCAGCAGGCCCTCTGATTCAGCATCATGGTAGCAGCACCTTATAATACTCCTCCCTCCTTTGTTCAAATATATTCCACAGGCAAACAGAAGTTGGTTGTGTAAAT